TCGGTACCGCTCAGTACATGCTCGGTACCGCTCAGTACATGCTCGGTACTGCTAGGTACATGCTCGGTATCTTCCCATACAAACAACTTACGAACTTTAAAAACAAGCAGAACTTCAAAATTACTCTTACAATAAAATTTTGTTCCGGGTCGAACCCCGCCAGAGGGCAGCGCCCCCTTGGACCCCCGGCAGACTGGTATATTGTTGTATTCATGTTGTATTATTATTGGGATATTTTGATTTCACTTCATATCAATTTAATTTGGTGTACTCATATCTATGATTGGTTTGTTAGCAAAATGAGCTATGCTACTAGCGGGGGGTGGATTAGGTGAAGGTTCAAAAGAGACATCTGTCCACGCCGTGTCCGTGTCCTATATTTTTAAAAATTATTATATATTATATTAAAAAAATATTATGCCGTGTCCACGCCGTACTCGTGTCCTATATTTTTAAAAATTGCCGTGTCCCGTGTCCGTGTCGTGTCGTGTCCGCGTCGCCGTGTCCGTGTCGGTGCATCATAGGATAGGATCTTCCTAAGAAGATTCAAGCTCACCTACACTTAGTCGATCATGGAGTCAACATTCTCTGCAACTTAAGTAGGCTTGCCTCTCACATTAAGGAAGCCTAAGTACTCCAATAGAGGGGTTTCCAGCAGTGTCAAAGGACTCGCCGACAATAGTTCTTGCTCAACCTATTTGAGGACTTGTTGCCTTCATTCACTCGCCCATGAACACTCGGCACAAGGGAACTTATCTCGATGGTGAAGTGTTGGACTAGAAAGTAGTGGTAATTTCCAATGCCTATCAGAGCAAGACATGTGCCCAAGGTCGTATGTACTGGGTTTCATTTATTATTGTAATTTTTATATTTTTTGGTGTAACATTCATTGTAGTCTTCAGATCCCTATAAATAAACGGTGAAGAGGCAAATTTAGGATCTTTTGGCACATTCCAAATGCATTATTGTGCCATTAAAATACTTTTTTTCCAAATCTTCTTCTTTTCATACTTTCCCACAAGTCTTCGGGTTCTATTTCTTATGTCATCTACTAGTAAGGTCAGATATCACTTACGGACAAACTTTGATCCAACAATATCCTCTGTAAGGTTTTCCTTGCACCAATATATTGGAATCTGACGGAAAATACAACGAATCCAGAAGGTACCGGTGGTCCAAAACTGTCAGAAATTCCGGTAGTTATTCCACTGGATTAATTGCCGGAAAAAACTGGCAGTTAAACTGCTGGAATTTCCAACGGTTTTGGACTGCCGAAAATTCCGCTGGTATCCCTTAATTTTCTTGTAGTGATAGAACATGATCAGTGTCTCCACTGCATTCTCATCTTAAACTCATTACACATTGATCTCCTCACACAGCAACTTGCATTCTTTTGTCCCCATGTCCATCATCGTACAATTTGTAGTAACTTTAAAGGTCTTAATCCTCATCTTCGTCATTTTCACCCTAGCCTATGAATGTCTCCATCTCTAGTGACAAGGATGAGAATGTTGATTTGAAATCGAGGTTCTGATCTCAGTTTGAACAATAGCTTGAAGAAAGGTTGGTTTGGTTCAGTTTTGAACCATTTTGAATCAGTCCCGGAGGGATCCAACTTCAGTAAGCAATATGGAAATACAAAATATTATTTCTATTGAGATAATTCCATCCAACTTATATTTTTTATTCGTATAATTCAGATTAAGTATATATCGAATGCATTTGATCGATACCATGATTTAAGAGTGTAGAGTTAAATTTTTGATATGCACATAGGGGCTCGAAGGAAAGAAAATACCAAGTGCATTTGAGAAATCAATAACTGTTGATTAGGATCGCAAAGATGTGTCCGTAAAAACCTCAAACCTTTGTCCACCCATTTGTCTTTTTATTTTACGACTGCGTTAGTTATTTGCACAAAAACCTTCACATTCCAAAGAATGCTCAGAGCTGCGATTCTAACTCCCATCATATATTTGATCCCACCTAGATATATTTGCAAGGTAGATAACATTTTCTTCTATATTGTAGCATCTCTTTTGGGGAGCCGATTGATTTTTCCCATGTTTTGTTCTGCTCTTAAGTACCTGAACATCTTTGTAAGCCATCCCTACTGCTTTATCTTGGATCACAGATGTGTACTTCATTTCCTCTGCCAATATTCCGCTGTGGCTGCTGTCTGCTAAGAAACTTCCTTTGTTACATTTTACCCATCCTCCTTCGTCACTAATGTCAGCTTCGTAGGTTATGCATCTGTCCACTTGCGTTATTCTTTCTTAGTTTCCATGATCAGCTATAGATCTGTAAGTTTTGAATTTTTGGTACTTTCTTCTTGCTTCCATAAATTCTCATTAGGTGTTGATTCTTTATTACTATTTTTTGTGTAATTTCTCAGTGAGTGAAACTAATTTAATGGCTTTCTTGAAACTTGCTTGATGATTCAGGCATGAAAGTAGGTTCTAAATGATAACCTCATAATGTTTGTTGCGATTCCTATTCCCAAAGAGCACTTTGAGTTCCTATAAACTCCCAATTGAACAAAGCTCTCTAAAAAACAAGACAAGAAACACATAATAGGGAAATTCTTCTCGAAGCCCTGCCAGCCATGGTTCTATATTTATAGCTTTTGAATTCAAATTATATGAGTTCGGTTGCCATTTGACTGTTGCATTTAGTTACAACTAATATCTACAAATTAAGGCTTCATTTGGGACAACTTTCTTATTGCTTTAGCTTTTTAGTATAAATAATTTAATTTTTTAACAAAAAAGCTGCTTTAAGCAGTAAGAAAGTCGTCCCAAATGAAGCCTAAGGCTTCGTTTGGGACGGCTTTTTTATTGCTTTATAAAACGGAGTTTTAGTACAATTTTTTTTTATTTTTTACTAAAATTCTGTTTTAAAAAGCAATAAAAAAGCTGCCCCAAACGAGGCCTAAGTAACAACCAATTGAATACAACTCATTATTATTACACCTTACATAGAAAGCACTTACAAATAATTATCGCCGGCTTGCATTGAGATCTGCCTTCCACTTGGGATTGCACTAAACTTTGCCGGCTTCCTTTCTATAGTTTCTGTAGGAATCACAACATTACCCCCTCTTAAAAGATGGATGACCATTATGTGATAACATTTGTTGATTTAGTTTTAGAATAGCCAAAGGATGAACTAATTGTTGGCCCTCATTGAATTGAGCAGACAATGTTGCCAAATTGAGAGTAGAATCTTCGCAAACATGTTTATTTCAGTATGCATAAAATACAATGTTAGCTTTTGCAGTTTCTTATAGTTCAAGCTTATATGCAAACGAGCATGTCGTTGATTTAATGCAGAAGGGAGTACAATAACTTCGGATTCAAAACCTCTTTGTTGACTGTCAAAGCTCAATAGATCAAGATAAGCTGAGTATCTCTATCTTCTGGTGTTTTCGGTACGTCTGCTATCTGTTTCATTTTATTGTGTATATTACAAATTTATTCGTAGCACCTGTACAACCTCTTCTCGTTCTTGCAATAAGACTTCTACTGTGTCAATACTAGAAGTGTGAGAATAACATGGAATAATGAGAGGTGGTGATCTGCAATATACATACAGTTTGAAATGTAAGCAATCCCATTGCTTTATGAGTAGCAGTATTGTAAGATAATTGAGAATTCCACCCAGTAAAGAAAATTGACCCACTTGGGCAGTGTATCTGTAATAGTCTGATTTGTTATGCTACCTTTTCTTCATAGTTAAGCTTTATTCAGAAGAGTAATTATAAATAAAGTATAATTAGTTATTAATAATATTTATTTCAAATTTTGTTTCTACGTTATTTTCATTTTATACATAAGATTAATTATAACTTGTACGCATGAAAATAAATCAAATAATAAGTTTTCATAAATATTAATGCTCAAGTTTAATAATTTTATTAATTTTTTTTAAGAATTAATAATGCATATAATATAAAATTTAATAATTTTGTTACAAAATGTAATGATGTTGTTATAGAATGAAAGTAATATATGCAGCTCATCTTAGTTTATTAGCTGGGAGTTTTGACTATCAACCAAAAGATTTTTGCTTGAAATCTTGTATATGCGACGTGTGTATAAATTTGTCTTAATTAGCTTAAATATCTCAAAAAATAAAAATTATATATATATATATATTATGTTAATGAAAATTAGTTAAGCAAGAGTGAAGGAGAAATTTAAGGTTAAGAGTCGTTGGGAGAAAGATGGAGAAAGAAAAAAATCAGAGAGAAAACAAGATTTTAGATGGGGAAAGTTTAATTTTTTTTAAGAAAATACAAGGATTCATAATCCGACTTTTATTCATATATTTCTTTTATAATTATCAAATTTTTTGGTTGGTAAAATAGTTATTAAGATTATTCACTTTTATTGATGTTAATAAGTATGATATGAATTTATATACTTATATACATTTATTTCTATTTGTCTGATTGTTGAATAATTTAGAGGTTATCATGAAATTATTACTTGATAACTTTAAAAATGAGATTTTCATAAAATTATTAATTTGATACTCTTAAAACATAATATTACTATAAATTTTATAAATTTTTTTTTCATGAACTAAATAAGTTTTGCCAGGTCCTAAGTCCTGGATGAGAAAAGTGGAGGGTTGCGTTAGGTAGTCGACAACTAGTGTAAAATTTGTTGAATAATATTGACATGAATCCTTTAAAAATTATATTAATGCTAGGGCGTCCCTTGGAAGCGGCGCGCTGTATGGCCTGAATACAGTGACAAGTATGTAAGGGCCGTTGCACCGGCGCCCTGATGCAATGCTAAATAGGCAAGACTTCCAACATTAAGGACGAATGTGGGCGAAGAAGGTCCATGATACTAAAAAACATGAAACTAAAATTTGGATAGGAATTTGAAATATAGATTCCCTTACAAGAAAATTAATGGAATTAATATATTATTATTCATAGGAAGTTAAATATTTTGTGCATTCAGGAAATTAAACGGGTTGGAGAGAAGGCCAAGGAAATTGATAGATTAGGATTTAAACTTTGGTATTCGTGTAAGAGTCATACTAGAAATGGTGTAGGTGTTATTATAGATAAGAGTTTGATGGATAATATTGTAAAAATTAATAGGATTGAAAATAAAATTATAGTTTTAAAGATTGTTATTGATGTTAAGATTGTTAATATTATAAGTGCTTATGCTCATCAAGTAGGTTTGGATATGAGTTCTAAATTAAATTTTTGGAATGACTTAGAAAATTAATATAAAAGATACCTCTTGAAGAAAGTTTTTATTGGAGGAGATTTAAATGGACATGTTGGTAGAGAGGTAGATAATTTTAAAAGCATTGATGATGGTCATGGATTTGGAATGACAAATGAATGTGGCAAGAATATATTAGATTTTTGTTTAGCTTATGCTTTTTTAATTTCTAATACCTTATTTAAGAAAATGAATGAGCATCTCATCACTTATAAAAACTGATATTGTACATCTCAGATTGGCTATTTTCTTATAAGAAAATTAAATCGTTTAGATTGTAAAGATTATAAAGTTATTTCGAATGAAATTTTATATACCCAACATCGATTATTAGTTTTGGACTTTAAGATAAATGGACAGAAAATAAAAAATATAGTAAAACGATATTATAGGATTAGACTGAGGCATTTAAAGAATATTAACAAAAATATTTTTTAGAGTAAGATTTTAAATCTTAAGATTTTGATTATGTATGAGGATGCTAATGTTATGTGGAATAAAGCAGCTAGTGATATTAAGAATATTGAAAAAGATGTACTTGGAATATCAAAGAGAAAAGTTCCTAATAATAAAAATAGTTGGTGGTGGAATCCAAATGTGCAAGAAAAGATTAAAAATAAGAAAATTTGTTATAAAAATGAGTTTAATTCTAAAAATTATGATGATTGGGACAGATATAAAGAGGCTCGTAAAGAATTTAATAAAATAATATGCGATGCAAATACCTTAGCTTTTAATGATTTATATAATAGATTAGATACTAAGGAGGCAGAAAGATATATGTATAAATTAGCCAAACAAAGATATATGAGTAGTAAATATTTAGTTCAAGTTAAGTGTATTAAGGATGAAGATAAAAAACTACTTCTTAGAAGATATTCAAGAAAGGTGGATGAGATATTTTGCTAAACTTTTTAATGAAGATTGTGAAAATAAGATTGACTGTAGTGACCTTAGTTTCCTAAATAAAAATAAAAATTTCTGTTTTTATCGACGTATTAGTAAAACGAAGTTAGAGAGGCTTTAAAGAAAATAAAGGGTGGAAAAGCTGTTGGACATGATGATATTCCAATAGAGGTGTGGAAATGCTTAGGATATGAAGGAATTTCTTGGCTTACTAAACTTATTAATACTATTTTGAAGACTAAAAAGATGTTAGATGAGTGAAGAATGAGTGTGTTGATTTCTATTTTTAAGAATAAAGGCGATGCACAATATTGTGTGAATTATAGAGGAATTAAGTTAATGTGTCATACTTTAAAACTATGAGAGCGAGTTATGAAGCATAGGTTGCGGCGTGATACTAATGTTTCTCAAAATCAATTTGGATTCATGTCATGTAGGTCGACTATGGAAGCCATACATTTATTAAGAGGTTTGATGGAGAAATATAGAGAAAATTAGGAGGATCTACATATGATATTTATTGATTTAGAAAAAGCATATGATAAAGTTCCAAGAGAAGTGCTATGGAGAGTTCTTGATAAGAAAGGAGTTAATAACGCTTATATTCAATTCATTAAAGATATGTATGCAGGAGCTATTACTTCTGTTCAAACAAAAGGTGGTTTGACTAAGTATTTCCCTATTTCAGTTGGGTTACATCAAGGATCAGCCTTAAGCCCATACCTTTTTGCTTTAGTCATGGATGTTCTCACTAGACATTTGCAAGAAGATGTACCTTGGTGTATGCTTTTTACTGATGATATTCTTCTTGTTGATAAGACTAGAGAGGGAGTTGAAGGTAAACTTGAATTATGGAGGTCAACCTTAGAGTCTAAAGGTTTTCGCTTGAGTAGATCTAAAACAGAATATATGGAGTGTAATTTTAGCAGAGAGGTTTTAGATTTGACTTATGTTAAGAAAGGTATGGGTACATTTAAAAAGACTTGGTTAGAAAATATTAGAAATGACCTTTCTTTATTAGATTTAAACGAGAATTTGACTTTTAATAGGACACAATGGAGGAAAAGGATTCATGTAGCCGACCCCACGTAGTGGGATAAAGGCTTGATGTTGTTGTATGAATTAAATAAGTTTTGGTGAAAATAAATATGTTTAAAAGAGGATAGGAATTACTTATTTCTATATTTAAAAAAGGTATATTATGTTTATAATTAATTTAAAGAAAATAATATAAATAATAAAGACTTAATACAAATTATATTAATTATATGGATAGATATTTATTGATTATTTTTATATTAATTCATTTATGAACTATAAATCATACTTAAAGCAAGAAAGAATTAAATAAATAATTAAGTTTTAAGAGTATAAATAGTTTTTTTAATGAATATTCTAATGTACTAATTTAAAAATGTCATTTTAATATAAAAAGACGATTTTTCTTATTTGTAAGAACTCTTTTAAAGTCTATATTCTTATGAATCTTATGTATGTCATTAAAATTGAATGTTTAAATATGTTTTAAATATGAATAAGGCTCAATTATTTTCGCATGGATTTCAAGAAAAAAAATAATCATAAGCAACAATAATTTTGCACTTATTTAGTACATCCTGACTGTATTCAGAATAAAACCTCTGAAATATCAAATATTACTTTAAGCCCAAGTTGGTCACTGATGTTTGATTGCCAGATTATAATTGATATGAACTACTTGACTCAAAATAGTAACACTTGGTTAAATTAATTTTATCCAAAGGACTGTATTTCTTTCATTAAAATGTTTAACTAATTGACATATTTTCATTAAAATGTATATCTAATTGATATAATATATATTGTATATAAAGTTACTCTATTTATGACTGTATTTTTTTCATCTTAAACATTTTAATGAAAATATGTCAATTACTTATATTAATAGTTCTTTGTCCTCTATAAATAGTAAATAGAGTAACTTCGCATACTTTCTTCACACAAAACAAAAGTTAATATAAAAGACTTCGCTAGAATCACATCCTTTGAAAATTTGCACTGAACATTTTTTTTTTGAATCATTGGTGAAATTATTGCTTCCAAATTGTTTTCCTAAAATTATGAGTAAAGAAAAAAATAAAGATTTTTTTTTGCCAAAATGTGATTGATAGGAAACATATGTTACTTTTTGTTTTTTTGAAGAAGAAGCAATAAATGCATTGATAACTAAAATGGAAAGAACAACCTACAAAGTACTTCCTAATGCTTCCTCCTTTAATAATTTAGCAAAGGAAGGAGGAATCTTATTTGACCCTATGTCATCCCAACAAAAAGAAGAAAAAATAGCATAGTTAGCACATAAATCTGCTAACTTATTACAACTCCTCTCTATATAATTAAAAATAACATAATTAAAATCCCTAAGAAAAGAAATGTCTTCTACTCCTTTCCTCCTCTTGTAAATGAATTTTGTATGAGCTTGATTATGTTGGCATTGTCACCTTCAATAATGATGCCCTTATACTCCAGCATCCGATCTCTAATCACCTCTTTAAAGGCTTTTAT